TCTTTGTGTCCATTTCAATAATTTCTTCCCAATCTAAACAGTTTTTTTGTATCCGTAGAGTTGGCATATGGTGCTTGCATGAGAAACTCTCATTTATTAAATCATTTATTTATAATAAATGTAATAAATACATAAATAAAGTAATTTTTATTTATTTAATAATTTGTTTTTTAAAAAAGACAACTCTGTGTTCTGTCCAACTCCAATATCAGGTGTTATATTTCCTTTTCAGAGACTTTGCAAGGCTTTGGCACCGGTTTTATTTTTTACTTTCTGGTTAAACACAGGAATTGTCCTTTCTGCCATGTTATGCATATGGGACTGTTCCTGTCAAGGATTTGAAGAAGTAGCTCTGAGCAAAGGGTCGGGACGGCCCAGGCCACGCGGCCTGGGAGGGGGACAGCCGCAGCTCCTGGCGCTCACTCCCACTCCGTAGCCTGTGTGCATCCTGCTCAGCCGGAGCCGCATGCAGAAGCCTGGGGCACGGGGAGCCCTGCTGACTGGGTTTGCGTGGCAGACATCCCCCTGGTGGAGGAGGCCCTGCTGCTCACCAGGCTTGCACACAGGCGTCCTGCAGAGCGTGGAGGGAGGCCTTTAGTGTTGATAGCGCCCAGGGCCTAGGAGAGGATTCTGCTCCCAGTAAGAGTGCGGAGCTGAAGAAGGAGGTGTGAACATCTCTACAGGGTCTTGCCAGCCTCCACGTGGAACGGACGTCCTGACTGAGCCCCGGCCACCACAGAAGGGTCTGGAGCATGCCTTCCCCGCGGGGGGTGTCACCTCCCGGGGAGAGAACATGGGACCCGATGAGGAGGAGCCCCAGCTTGGAAACAGACACAGGTGCATCTGTGGCATTAATGTGTCATGGACAGAAGCTGCTGGGGAGCAAACGTCTGGACCATTCCACTAGGGGGTCGACGAGGAAGCTGGGTGGAGAACCCCGTCGAGGAATGGAACCCCAAGGCGGAGGGGCCATGGTGGCACCTCGTGCCGGGTGTTTGGATGCACAGCTGTTGGATGCCCTTGGGCACGGTGCTGGCGGCTGGTGTCCCTGCTGGTGCCAGGATCTGGAAAGGACGCCACACCCTCTCTGTCTCTGTCCCTGGAGGGCACGGGGGCCCACAGCACAGCCGACAGGCTGCCCCTGAGTGGCTGCTGTGACAACAAGGTTCCAGGAGGTCCACCGTTTGCTTCTGAGTTCATCTTTTTTTTTTTTTTTAAGATTTTATGTATTTGAGAGAGAGAGAATGAATGAGCAGGGGCAAGGGGCAGAGGGAGAAGCAGACTCCCTGCTGAGCAGGGCACCCAACATGGGGCTCGATCCCAGGACGTGGGATTATGACCTGAGCCGAAGGATGATGCTTCACCGACGGAGCCCCCCAGGGCACCCCAGAGTCTATCCTCTGGCTCCCAGGAAGGACATGGAGCACCTCACCCAGGGGATGCGTACTCCATCCTTGGGACGATGGCAGCACTTGGCATGGCGTAGCCCAAGGCACTAGTTCCCCCAGGACGTATCCCTGACGCGCTGCACCCACTCTGAGCTCTTCCGTTTGTTTCTTGACACCATCTTCCTTTCCCTCCTGTCACCTAGAAGGTCGCTGATCTCATTGTTCCTTGTCGCTGCCTGCCTAGGGATGCCGAGCTGGCCTCAGGCTGTACCTGCTCCTCAGCTGAGCCCCCGGGGAGTACGGGAGCCCTGACAGCCAGAGAGGAGCATGCCCAGGGGCTCACACTTAGGTGCACTCCTGCTCGCCCTCACCCCTCGACCCTGCCCACCAGTCTCACCGTGTTCCTCTGTCAGCCACCACGTCTGTGTGCTCTGTCCACCCTCCGCCGGGATGGGCCTGTGCTTGGGGGGAAGGGTAGGCAAGGCATCCCTCAGGAATTAGTCACCAAGTCATTTCTGCGCAATCTGGCTGCTGCCTCATCCCCACACACAGGATAGAGAGGGTGACGGTCGGCAGTATGTTGCTTTTTATGGCTGGGAGCAATGTAAGGCTCATAAAAAATAGCAGCAGAAGTACTGAGCTGCAGCAGCGCCCTCCCCCCTCCAGGGTCTAGTGTGGCACTGGCACGTTGTGGGGGGCACCTCCCCCCGCTCACCTTGACGGAGGAAGCCCAGCAGAGCCGGGCGGCAGCATTCTTACCATTTCTGTGTCTGATATTTTAAGCCCTTTCCCAACACAGTCCTTCTCCTCGGCCTGTGTCCTGGGCCTTCAGCCTGCACCCCAGGGCCGAGGAGTTCCCCCACCCTTCCCCAAGGAGAGAGCCTCTGCGCCCTTGGGGCTGGGATGAAGCCTGTGTCTCCACCCGCTATTTGCAAACAGCCTTGGGCTCAGAAAGCACCCAGGAAGGCACTGGACTGATAGGAGTTCCCAGAGTCACAGAGCAGAAAGGGGGGGACCACTGGGAGGACTGGCGCGCTCCGTGCTGGATCCTGCAGGCCCTCCAGGCGCTGCTGCGGGGGATTGTGGGCTCTCGCTAACGTCTACCACACAAACTGTTTTGGTTTGGGGATCCGACACTCTCCAGCTATGGGTCCCTGGCCCATGACTGCCCCTGGGGCCCGGCTGCACTCCTTCAAGGGCTTCACATTTTAGAAGGGAAGCTTGGTGTAGTCCTGTGTGGTGGGTGGTGGGGTCAGAGGGCCGTGGGGACACGTGTGGAGCAACTGACCACGGCCGAGGACAGTGGTCCCTGCTCAGCCCTGGACACCCGCCCTCTCTTCCCTTCGTGGTGCTGCAGGATGTGCTCCCCGCCCTGGCGCAGTCAGGCTTCCCACGGCAGCTGCTGCAGGCAGGTCCGGAGCCCCTTGGCCAGAACATGGCTCCCCATATGGCCGAGGGAATGGAGGCCAGAGCTTTAGAGGGCAGAGGGGGGGACAAGAGTGACACAGGACATAGAGGTGTGGTTGAGGGGTCTGGAAAGAGACTGCCGTTTCCATGTCAATAGGGGTGTTGGGGAGGGTGCAAGGCCCCTTCGGAGCCTCTCTGAACCTGCTCTGCACGGTAGGTTTCCTTCCGTCCCAAGCTCACAAGCCCCAGAGGCGATGGGCCAGGGCTGGGGAGGGGGGGGGCAGCGAGCATCACCAGCACTTTTGTAACAGCCTTGGTGACAATGATGCCAACCTGCGGGAGTGCTCCCCAGAGTCCTAGGTGCATTCGCAGGGGCAGGGGTGTCCTCCTGCTGTGTAGGGAGAGGGGGGTGTGACTGCACGCTGCTCCCTGACCTGTAGCCTCTGGGGTCTTCAGAGAGGCCTCCTGGCAGCTGGGGGAGGATTTAGGTCCAGAGGATTGCTCGGGATTTCTCAAATGTGTACGATGGATTAGAGATGCCCCCCACTTGAGGTGTAAACTGAGGTCAGGTTGTGAGGCCGCTGAGATGGCAGGTGAGAGGCCTGTTCAAGTCACCGAGGCCCCTCCCAACCTCCGTGTAGAAGCAGAGCCATCATGACTCAGGCACAGCCGTGGTCTGTCCTCCCCCTTGGGTGTGAGGTGCTGCCAACTCCCCACAGCCCCCAGAGCCAACCGTGCCAGGAAGCCGGGAGCATCCTATAAGATCCCTGGTGCTAGATGCTCAGTGCGGCCATACCTGCCAGGCGGTCTTGGGGAGGGTCTGCTGAGGTCAGGGCGTGATGGTGGTCAGGGCCTGACAGTGATCAGGCCGCAGTCAGAGCATGATGATAGGCCACAAGAGGTGCTGAGGGGCGCTGGGGCCTCACTCACTGGGCGGCGGGAGAGGCAGCAGGAAAACCACCGGCGTGAGCCACGGAGGCAGAAGCAGCCATGGTTCCAGGGCCTGGGGCTCCCACTGGGAATGGGAGGAGGGCCGCCTGGTGACTGGGGGCTCCAGAGGGGCCTGGGACCCCATGTGCCGGAGGGCAGGGATGGCCATGGGGATGTGTGGGGCCAGGACGTGGCTCCGCCAAGACGCGAGCCAGGGTCCAGTGGTTGGTGCCGGGGACACGGGGGGAGGAGGGATGTGGTCGTCAGCACTTTGTGACCATGCAGACGTTTCTTGTGCAAGGAGGTGGAAGAGAAGGTCTGTGGGCTGGAACAGGTGGACCCGGAGCTGCGGGAATGGTGCCAGGGGCCCATCCGAGGTCTCGTGGGCCTGAAGCCACACTGGGCCTTCTGTGGGAAGATGCATCCTAGGGCCATGCTGGTGGCGACTGGGCAGCAGAGGGTCTTCCAGGGGCAGGGCCTTGGGCAACAGGCTGGGCATGGGGATGTGAGCCGGACCCCCGGGAGAAGCAGGTGCAGGGCAGGGACCACGATGACCTGGGGGTAGTTCCCGAGGCCAGAGCAGGGCTGGTGGAGAGGGCAGGACATCCTCTTCCTCTGGTCTCCCTCCCCTCCCTCCTCCCCGCTCCCCTTCCCCCTCCTCTTCCCTGCCCTTCCCCCTCCCTTTCCATCCCCTCCCCTCCCACCCTGCCCCCTCCCCCTTCCTGTTCTCCTCCCTCCTTCCCTCTTCTCTTCAGATGAATAAAATTACTTAAAAAGTAATATATTTTTTAAACTCATGTGCAACATAGTATTTAAGAAGCTTTGAAAATTTTAATCATCCCTATCTCGCAATTCCCTGATAGTTATTTTTATAGTAAATAGTTCTTAATGACTGATAGGTTTTTAAATGGTTCCTGTCAAGAGGAATTCAAAAACCCCAGTGTCTTTCCTTCCTGCTTTTCATCCCTGCCACTCCCATGGGGCCGAATACTCAAATCTGTTTCCATCGCAATTTTCCCTTTTCTGCTTGTTCTTGGTGGTTTGTTGAGGGTGATCTGAATGTTTTGTAAGTTGCTGTGTGGGGGTCTGAGAAGCACCACTTACCGGTGGAGTTCCCGGAATGTAGGGGGGAGAGTCACGGTGCCCAGGACGCTGGAGCCTGGCCGAGGTCACGCGTGGTGTGAGCGGTGGCTCTGACACATGTGTGCCATGTTGCGCTGGGAACAGCTCAGGTGCTGGGGCTGTTCTGAGCTCCTCTCTCCTCCTCTCTTTCAGTGTTCTGGGCCCAGCGGTGACCTTCAGGGTGAGCGCCAGCATCTGGAACCTGACGACAGCAGATGTGGTGCAGGCCACAGGTAAGGCTGCTCCACGCACCCTGTGGACAGGGAGGCCCAGTCTCCCCAGATCCCCATTGCCACTGTCCACAGGCCTGGCTGCGGGGCAGGAGTGTGTGTAATGAAGACCATGTGGGCCCTCTGAGATGGAGGGGCAAGGGTGGGGGAGCAGGGGCCGCGGCGGCCCTGTGTGAACAGAACACGTGCCATTTGCTTTAACCCCATGTCCCTGGTGTCCCACCGGTGCATCTTCTGTCAGGGACCTGCACGGGGCAGGAAGGATGGTTTAAACAGACAGGGAGCTGCGTTCCAGCTTCGCCCTCGAGGCCCTGGAGATTCCTGCGCACCTGCCTTGAGAACCAGCAAGCCACCTCCAGTGGGATGGTGTCGGCCGGGGTGTGGGCAGCTGGGGGGCTCCAGCTGCTAGAAGTCGGGCTGTCTCACCTGCTTTGGTTGCTGGTGAACTTGACTTGCCAGCCGTCTTGGTGCCCTTCATAGCTCTTTTCCTGAAAGTGATGATGTTGGGTCCCAGTCACGTCTGGTAGAGGGAGGATTCTTACCAAGCTGCCTTTCCTCCAGGAGGCTCTGTGCAGCGCCGAGGGCCCCAGGCTTCCCTCTAGGGTCCTGTGTGACCATCAGGCCGTGGGTGTCGGGCTAACTGACTAGGAGTATGGGGGCAGCTTGATGTGGCCTCGGCAAGGGAGGCCAGCCACATTCATTGCAGACACGCTGCCTCCCAACAGGGAGTGGGACTCGGTGTCAGCAGCTCCGACCCCTCATGACCACGGGCTCCTCCTTCCCTCCGGCATCCGTTTTATGGTCCTAGCTGCTCAACAAGAGATTATTGAACATGTTTGAGGCCAAATCAGTTACCAGCGTTTTCATGCAGAGACACAGAAACACATTCACAGCTGTTGTGTCCATGGCCATTCCTCCCAGCGCTGGGCGGTTGTGCTGTCAACATTGGGTTCACTGGCCCGTCACATTGCGGTGACGAGCAGAACACAGCAGAAGGAAGCCTTTTCCTCTTTGGTACCCATGGTGACGCACCCTCACTGAATAGCCTTCTGTTTATTTTATTGCTTTCTGGGGAAAACAAGGTCTGTTACCTAAAATCTAGTTTCTCGGTTATTTTAAATGTGTTCGTGATGTGCACCGAGGTACTGTGTGCTGACGGGATGTTCCCCATCGATTGTATGTTTGAACATCATTGCAGCAACTTTCCGTACACTTGAATCAACTGAATTACAGCATGTGCTGGTATGGGCTCTCGTAGCTGTGCAAGCTGTAGCTCATCAACCACGTGCAAAAGGACATATATACCTAGTCTCAAAACTTAGTTCTCTTATGTTGTGAGTCCTTTTATGATATTAAGAGCATAGCTGATGCCACGTAGGAGAAAGAGGATGGAAAGTACATTTGTGACTATCAGGGTTCTGTGGTTTGGTAGTAGATATGCCAATGCATAGCAGGTACCACGTGCCAAGTCCCTAGGGGAGTGAATGGGTCCCAGGAAGAGAACCGAGCTCACCAAGCATGAGGCTTAGTCACGTGTTAGCAGGGAAAGAACTTTGGGTAGTTTCTTGTTTCAAAGACGGCATGGAGCCCTAGTTGGTGCGAGCGGCCCAGTGGCACTGATGGGGTGGACGCTGTGTGCTGGGGGCTGCGGTGGTGGTGGTGGGGCTGCTGCCTGTACACCCAGCGCCACGTCTGGTCCCCTCTGGCCCGACAGCCCCACCAGGGGCACAGAGATGGCACAGCCCTGCTGAGGGAATGTACAGGGAGTTCTTGTGCTAATCTCGTGCAGAATGGAACAAACCAGAATGAATAGGGGTGCAATCAACACCACATGGCTCCTGTCAAACATGAACGCTGTGTGCCTGAGGGGTGGATGCAGCTGGCCTTCCGTGAGTGATGTGATTCTCTTCTGGACATTCTGCTGAATTTGTGAACCTGGGCATGAATACATGGTGTGCCTGAGGTGTGCAAAGGCAGTGGGTGCCTCCGGGCGAGGTGCCCCTGTGTCGCCGGGTGTGCAGGAGCGCCCACTGTTCCCATGTTGTGCTATGTGTGTGTCGGGCATGTGGGTTTGTAATCAAACATCTGTATGCACCACGAAATGGTCGCAAGTGGAGGCGTCACACCTGGTCGTGCCCTGTAACCTTCCCAGCCGCGCCATCTCAGCGTCTTGGGCAGGACAGAGAAACCCCTTCCTACCCTGCATTTCCTTGGTCTTTCACTCCAAGTAGTATGTTTCTAATCGGTTTTTGCATTTCTCCTTCGAGAGAAGGTTTGGTTAAGTCCCGTCCTAGGAGAAGTGCTTCCTTCCCGTCGGCAGCAGCACAGCACACCCCGTGACCCTGGGCCCCATCTTCCTGCCGGGAGCCACCTGGTGGGCTGCCCTGCCTCTGAAATCACCTGTTCCTACAGCCCCCCTCATTTTCCCGTTGAGCACCTGTAGGGTTAGTGAGTCTCCTCTCTGCTGTGCTGCTGTCCTGCTTCTGATGGAAGCATCATCTGCACAGAAGAGGGCAAGGCCGTGTCTCCTGTGGCATCTCTCGTGGACACTAGCTCGTGGCTCAGCTCTGGACTCTGAGGCTCCAGGAGTGTAGTTTGGGGGCTCGCCTCCATACAGGAATGCTTTAACACACATCAAATGTGGGCTACAGAGTGGGAGGTCAGGCAGCTGTGCCTGTGTGCAGGGTGTTCGACCCCAGAGCCCTGTCCACAGTGAGTGCTGCCCAGCCTTCTGGCGTTTGGGTAAAGGGGGTGGGCATGTTTATTTTGGAAAGGATGATGGAGTCGCACCTGGCCCAGTGAAAGGAGCCCTTCTGAGATGCTTAGTCTGACCATCTAAACTGTCTTTCCAAGCGAGCCTTGTGCTTCAGGCTTCCTTAGGTTTTCTCCCAGGGGAGGCACTGCACAGGCCTAGGCCGTGTCAGCACCCAGAGGACAGCAGCCTCCTCAGGAGGAGTCAGCCTGCCTTCCAGAGGCCTGGATGCAGTTTCAGGTGCCCAGGGGAGGGGCCTCACCAGGTAAGGCCACCCAAAGAAGCTGGCTTTGGGTGGGCGACCAGGAACAACCTGGCTCTTAGGTGGGTGGGGAGGTGAGGACAGGCAGCCATATGAGGCACAGGGCCAATGCACCAGGGGCCCACCTGCCAGGGACAGGGTGGGGGCTGGAATCCAGGGTCAGTCCTGAATCAGGCTGTGTAGTGTGGGGTATTGTCCTTAGCACCTACTGGGAGCCCTCAAGTTTGGCTTACCTGTGGCTGAGGGAATATACTTTCCTCCCGGTGATGGCAGGCTGGCCAAGGGCCCACAGGCAGAGAGGGCGACCCTGGGTGGCACACACACCGTGTGCCATCCACTCTGGGCCCCGGTGAGCACGCGGGGCTGCATGGTGCAGGTGTCACTGGTCGGGGGGATGGGGAGAACCCGTCTGCAGTAGCTGCAGTCCCACTGTGGCTGGATCGCATGCCCTGTAAGATGGGCTGGTGGCCCTTGGCAGAGAGGGGGGCTGTACTCCTCCAGGGAACAGGCAGGGTGCTCTGGAAATACTGGGGCCCATGTGCCAGGAAGATCTATGCTCGCCTGCAGGTGAATGAGATCCCTGTGAAAGATCTGTGATGGTAGAAGTTCTCAGGGACTGTGCACGCTTCTGAGATGTGACTCCTCCCAGAGCAGAGCCTCAGGTCATGGCAGCCGGCGGGGTGGGGGTTCTGAGGTGCCACGGGGTGCTCCCAAAGAGGCCTGATGTGCCCGTAGCAGGAAGGATGGGACAGGCTCACCTGTCATTTCTAGTGACGTGGGCCTGCTGTTCAGACACCAGCCTTGGCTGAGGGTCCAGGGGCACTCGGGGGGGGGGGGGTGTGCTCCTGTTTGTGCAGCGGCTTCTGGCAGGTTCCAGCTTGAGGGGTTGCAAGGCCTGGCTGGCCTGCGGGGTCCCAGGTAGTGGTCAGGGTCTGCCAGTGAGGCTAGCAGGCAGCATGCTGCTGGTGGTGGATGGCACGGGAGGGTGAGGCCACTACGTCAGCATCTGCTAGGCCTGTGGAACTCCAGAACGAGGTGTGGGGGAGTGGCCACAGGTGGCGGACAAGGACACAGAAGCTGTGATGCTGGGAGATGGGCGCCTGCCCGGAGGCAGGACATAGAGAGTGAGGTGCACTGTGCAGCTGGAGAGGGTCCTCCTGGGAGGGAGTACAGCCTGTGCTCCGGCTCCAGCAGCTCCGTCCTATGTGGTTGCTGCTCTGTAGGAAGTGCTGAGCATCCATGGAACTGACAGGTCACAAGTTTCAAAAGCAAAATGTAGGAAGAGGCCTCTCATCCCTTTGAAGATCCTGAGATGACACATTGGTCTTGTGGGGCCCGGAGAACAGAATTGTGTCCTTCAGGGCACTGGTGAGGCTGGGAGTGGCGTGCTTTCCCTGGGGTGCTGCCCTGATGAGGGCTTCCCACTGTTTCATGAGGACAAGGGCAAACAGATGGATTTGGGGCGCCAGTCCTTGTTCCTGGGGAGTGCAGAGCAGGCGATGGGCAAGGGGGCCTGGACGGGGCACGGGAATGATGGGCCTCCTATTGCTGTGGAGAAGTGAGATCATGGAGTTGGCCACAGGGTCGTCTGGGGCCTCAGGAACCTGCTGTGGTCACAACAGGGTGTGCTCTCCTCTTCGTGCGGGCACAGCGACCTCTGCTTCTGTGCACGGGCATGTCAGAGACGCCCCTCTCCCCTGTGCTGGCTGTGTCGCTCTGCCCACCCAGCAGGTGTGGACGGGGACCTCGCTTATGGTAGGGGCTGGCTTTCCTCCTGACGCGGGGACTGGCCTATGCGGACCTGGGGTGATGCGTGGTGTTGGGAGTGATTCGTGAGCTGCACATGCACAGGTGGTCGCCTGGCTTCCTGGGCACATCGGGACTTGGGTGCCGACATGGAACCACCGCAGGGATGCAGCAGGGTCACACTGTGGGACAGATCCAGAAATGCGCTTCCGGGGCTGGGAGTGCTGGGGAGGCAGAAGTGGA